CCCCCCGCCGGCCCACGGGCGCCCGCCCTGCCCTGACCCTCGGGGCCCGGGCTGGGCCGGGCCCGGAAGCGGCCGCAGCCATTGCTGCCGCGGGGCCGCGGGGGGCGCGGGCTGGGGCGATGCGGACGCCCGGACGCCGCGCTCTGATTGGTCCGAAGTTGGCGGCTCGGACCCGCGCCCGGGCGCGGATTCCGGAGCCGGGCTGACCCCGAACCTCAAACCCGGGCCGCTCGCCTTGGCGTGGCCGTGTGCATTCCCGCCTTTGTCCCGCTCGGGGTTTGCGAACCTTTAAACCCTGAACTCTTACTCCCTGTCGCGGAGTTTTACTCGCTTCTCTTCAAATGCAGAAGGAAATGGGCCTTGACACAGCTGGAGGCATCCTCCAAAATACCTTTGTCATGTTCCTGACTCTGGAAGCAAGCTTATGGCCCGACTGTTGAGAACAGCCCCTGAGGTGCAGGACATTTCCGTGCTGCTCACGTTTGAGTTGTGCATCTTTGTTTTTTTTTCATGCTTGTTTCAGAGGTTCGCGGGATCGAAAAGTATGTTGAACGTAACGGAGAAAGGGGGTATACACTGCCAGCAACGAATCCATTTCTAGTTAAAAACTTGTCACAGGCAATTTAAGTTAATATTCAAAACGGTTGCGACTAGTTCTTTTATGGTAATGTAACCCCTGGGAGGTTCTCAACACTTCCCAAGATACACTATTCCTGAGTCCTCCCTTGCTTGAAAATCACCAGACCTGTTTTGGATTTTTACCCAAAAAGCAGTGGAAATGGGGGAGACGGGAGGGAATGCCAAATAATGAAATCTGGTATAACAACAATGAAATAACGTTTTAGTGTTTTTTTAGTAACTTGTGCGGTGTGCTTATGCTTACAAGGAGCCTTTTTCAGACTTCAAGATGACACCCGAGCCTTCTACTCTTTTCTCTGGACGTTTTTTGTAGTTTTCTACTGGCGGGTATTTTCTCAGAAACCATTTGATGTTCCCAATTGATGTTCTCCTTATAAACCATTAAAAAGAGACACAAACACACACGTAATTTTGGCAAAATTAAAGAGCACACACACGATGGGAATTATTCCTGTTTCTTCAGGATAATGCCTTGGAACCCAAACAGTTCCTAAGTAGATTTTTATTTAAGTTTAGAAAAAGTTAAAAACAAACAAACAACAACAACAAAAAAAAAAAACAGGAAAAAATGCAATAGCAATATTTGGAGATTTTAAAGAACAGATTGAATGATTAAATAATCCTCTTTCTGAGAAACGTAAGGGAAAGGAGGAGCAATGCCTCAATCGCTCTGAGTTTTGATCTCTGATTTGCCATAGAAAACGATGATCTCTAATTTATGTAGCGGTAAATAAATTAATAAATAAATACAAAGTTTGGGGGAAATTTGGAGTTAGATGGGTTTTAGACACATAGTAGATGTTAATTAAATACTGCTTGAATGAAAGTCAGTTCTGAGATTTTCAAACTAGTCTATGGTGAGCCAAGAATTCACTTTGCTCTTTGCTGTGCCTTACAAGAATCTGGACCAAATAGATTGTCCAGGGATCCTTTGAACCAGGACTGAAAATAAGCCAGACCAGATCCATTAGACCCAGTTGGAACCAGACCACAGTCCAGAGAGTGGGGCTCTGGCATTTTCCCCAGGGCATTCAGAGCTTTCAGTTAGTCTTTCAGCCACCCTCAAGCCATACTGGGTTCTCTGTTAAATGTTCTGCCATGTCTCTTTGGGCACAGAAGTTTCCACAGCTTTTGATCACTAGAGAGGAAAAGAAATGTTTTTTTGGTTTCAGTCTGACACAACCATCACTCACTGATGACCCTTGCTTTGGCATATCCTTTTGGTTGCATGCTACGATTCTAGGCTGCCAGATTGAGAATGCTCATCTCTGAATGTAGAAATCTTTACTTACTGGGAAATGGTAAAAAATAAATAAATTTTGAAAGATAAATCTAAAATCAATATGAGAAACTTTCCAAATTTTTTATGAATCTTGGTCAGAGATTTGCTAAAATGGACACAAACATTGTGTATTTCATTAAAGCATGCAATGTTCTTTTTATCTATTTAATGACGTATTCTAAAGATCTACTAACTAAAACATGGGAACCAGCAATAAAAGCTCTTAATAGTAAGTTCCATTACAACACATAAAGAAGGATATGTGTTTGCCAAATCAAAATGCACAGTACTGACCGGAAATTTGATTTTGAAGCCTGTAAGACAGTGGTTGTATCGTGAGTCATTTCTTAAAACTTTAAAAGCTACAAAGTGACCTTTCAATATTATCTTTGAAAAACGGGAAATTAAAAGTCTGCTTTATATCAAGAGTTTAAGTCCAGTCTTAAAAAATAAATAAAATCTAAAGGTTGGTATTAAAGTACTACCACACACCTGATTTAGTTATCCTAGAAAAAACTGCACTATCTTTACACAATAGAAATGATTTTATACACATTTCTTCTTTCAAATTTGCTGTTGGAAGAATTTTTTTTTCATTGATATGCCTAAAGAAAAGCTCTAGTTGCAGAATTCAAACTTGTGTACTTGTGTGGGCCTTGTTTTTTCATTTCAAGGAAGACTTGAATTATAATTCCATATTAATTAATTGTTTTACCACACATACTGCCTAATTCTTTTGATTGCATCTTGGTTGTTAATGACTGTTTCCAAGTGCCATGGTAGCATAAAAGCCTCATACAAAAACAAAAATAAAAACACCACTGAGGTTTATTTGTCTGTAGTTTCCTGAGAGTCAGAGGGATTTTGCAGTGAATGAATATAAAATCAAGTTTACAGAGCAGAAAAGACTAAAGATTTATTTGATGTGACAAAAAAGAAGAAATTTGTTAAAATCCAGAGTAGGTGTGTCATATTCTTGCTCCGAAGCCATCTCTCCTTAGCATTGATTCCCCAATAGCAATAGCATCATGAAAAGATGGCCCTGAAACTCGAAAAAGTCTGAGTGTTAAATTTTCCTTCCTTAATTTCTTGGTTTTAGGTGATGGCCCCACACACTTGTATGCAATACCAAAGAAAAATCATAAGATCCTTTAACTAAAAGAAACCTAGAGGTAGTCGGGACTTAAGTAAGGTTATAAAGAGAAAAGCTGAAGTATAAATTAGTGATCATCTCACCCCAAAAGTCAATGCTATTCACGAAGCAGAGTATGGAAGGGTAACCGGAAGCTGAAGGAAAACGAGAGGAGGAAACCAAAGTTAAGTTTTCATGTATTGAGTGCCTAGTATATGCCAGAAACTAGACTGGGTTTTTCGTATCCATTACCATAAAGCCCTAGCAGCCTACCAAAGTTCCAACAAGAAGGAAATGGACAGAATTAAAACGAGAGGAGGAAACCAAAGTTAAGTTTTCATGTATTGAGTGCCTAGTATATGCCAGAAATTAGACTGGGTTTTTCGTATCCATTACCATAAAGCCCTAGCAGCCTACCAAAGTTCCAACAAGAAGGAAATGGACAGAATTAGTGAAGAATATAGACAGCAGGAGTTCAAGAAGGAGGTTTCAATTGACTGAGAAGTTCCCATGAGAGAAGCAGGATCCAACAGAGAAAACAGAGAGGACTTGAGAGAGAGAGAGAGAGAATGTGTGTGTGTGTGCGCGCACACGCGTGCCCTGAATATCAGCTTCCAGTTAGGCCAACTTTGACCTTACATCTCTAAAAAAAAGACTCAGATCTCATTATCAGGTTTCAGCTAGCACAAACAGTAAGTATTCCCAGTGGTACTGAGCTTTTTTTCCCCCTATAAACCAAAGATAGCTCTCAAGTGACACAGAACCAAAATCAATGAGCC